GTATCACGTACTCTTGTGGATTTCTAAAGTGTTCCGAAATAGTCGTTTTTCGAAGTAATAACAAAACGAAGGGAAATGTCATATTAGACGGAAATGGACTCTGAATGCATAAAATATACATCATATTGATATTCTTATGATACTTGTCTCGAATAGTACATTCTTTTACTGGCTGAATGAACCACCACTACTAAACGGTGGCATCTAATCCAGCACAAATCACCTGGTTTACATCCTTACCTTTGATGCTGTTATTATGGACAACAGTCAGACTCCATAATCATTGTGTTTTGAAAAAAGTGTTTCGGGAGTAAATTTGTTAATTTATTACATGCTGAGAATTTCATACTGTATCGAAGATATTGTCTGGAATAAAGCTATCATTATTATCATCATTATTAGTATTGTTATTATTAAACTATATTTTGTTAAAATGCACACCTCTTTGAACAAGTTACTTGTGTAAGTTATCTAAATCTCACCAGTTGGTCAGCTACCTAGACGGTGTTGTTTCGAATCCGTTTAACATTCGCTAAGATGGAAGATGAATGAGGCAACAGGCAAGAATTCTCAAATGAAGTTATCAGCTATCTATAAAGAGCATTCTGAACAAAATAGCTATAAGTATCATCTGATAATTTCGAAAATAACCACCGTTTTATAAGATCAAGAAGCGAAATTGTAATAGCAGTAAATATGTTTTTATGTTCATGTCTCAAATACACCGATTGACTTCAATGTCAGCGACATAGTTTCACACACGTATAAACTCAGCTCCTTATTCTTGAATTTGTGATTTACATTAAAATGAATTTCTATTAATTTCCTTCAGATTTTTGAAAGTGTTTAAGTTGTCACTTATTTCAGAGTACTAAACAATTAGTGGCTGAATTTTAAGAAACAGCACTGTGTTGTTTCGATGTGCAAAGGTTCACAGTGAAACAATCTATCTACAAATGAATTGTTAGATTTCCTACCCACATATCTAACAAAGCGGTTTTCAATCACAACTACGCAGGCGAAGGGCCACCATTGGTTTCGATGCGAGCATTTCTATTAAGTGTTTGCCCACATTGAATTTAGCCTGCAATTAAATTAATTATCAATTTTCGGTATTTGCTAGCACATTATTCCGATAATTTTAATGCGACAAAATCAGAACTTGAACCCCAAAATAGTATGCAATTATTGCGTGAATTTGAGAAATTCCACTTCGCTCACCCACTAATGTCCAGTACGTAAGTCTCGTTGTTCTCTTTCGGTTACTTAATCTCCTGATTTCCCATGCTTTCACGTTAATCTCTTGTGGGTAGTTTACAAGAATAGAACCTCACACAATATTCGCTCTTTACTCACTAAATTTTCTCACTCTACAAGAGTAAATCTTGTGCACTGTAATAGTGAAGGTACTAATCTATCCGATACAGCACAAAGTGAGAGAGCGCTATTCATTGACTGACATCTCGGTCACCAACATCTTATAATCTTTCTGAAATCATTCAAACTAGTCGCTACACTATCCGTCCAGCAAATGTTCAAAGCAGATTGAACGAATGGTTATTGATTGCTGAATAAATATTTTGTCGACAGTTGTTTTACTTCCTCAGTATCGTGGATGTAATCAATGACACAGATGTATGTACACATAATCTAATACCATTGTTAATAAAGTTAGCATTGCAAATAAAATCGTGGGCTGTTTACAGAAAGCTTCTTATAATTCCCTTGCGATTAAATATCAGAAATAAGTGTGCCGATTACTGCAAGAAGAGGTACAGTGCAGTCAATAACGTAGAAAAAGTCGGTTGAACTGTCCTCAAAATGGGCAACTTTGTTGTTAGAATGAAGCAGCCTATAAGTTCATCGTAAATTCGTATTTATCCAAAAAATCTTTCTGAATAACGTGTTTTACTCTGGCTCCCGGTATAAATATCAATAACTGTCTTCTTGTTGGCCAAATATGCTTCCATCTTTTTATTTTTACCGCTGGTTTTGCAGCAGCATAAACTGTTATTAAGTGAAGTTGTTGCCACTTACATGCGATGCTCTTTTTGGGCCACATTAATTTCGGAGCCTGAAGAAACGAACAGTCATGCAACTAAATACCAAAATAAAGACATGCCAGCTATGTCCCTATAGCTTTTGAAATTTGCTGACAGTTACAACTGTTAATATCTACCGTACATTAAATACAGCTTCCAGATTCTTTAGGACAAATATGGTTATGATGTTTTACTGCTGTACCAATAGCTCACGTAAGCAGAAGCTGAGACATCAATATTACCAAGGTGTGCTTCAAAGAAAATTCGCATTTTCAGTGATCTAATCTCTCAAACAGAGGTTAACAAGTATATTTCCTCAGTTTACATCTGATTTTGAAGGACGGTATTTCCTCTAAAACCTTCATAGTCAACGAATAGCGATACTACTGAAGTCCATCAATCTTTTATGCTTATGACCAGCAAGTAAGAAAGTTTCTGTCTCCATTTTCCAGTGTATGTTTGCAAGCACTGTTGTATCAAGTGATCATTCCTACCTGGCTTATCTGCAAGAACTCAAGAGGTACCACCTAAATCTCTTTCTACTGTGAACATTTTTTTTCAAAGTAGCTGTAGTAAATAATCTCTAACCTATGTGTCAAGCTCATTCAACTTGGCAGCTTTTGGGACAACGAACAGAGTCATCGTCAACCAAAAATCATGTCGCACCACTGGCTGCTGTCTTATCCAGCCTTCCGTTGCTCTTCATCTCTCATCTAAAGCAATACAGAGATCAGTCTATCAGAGGGCAGATAATGAATCAGATCAGCATGCAGATTCATCAACAGTACCTTATGATGTTACAGAAGCAAAACAACTTCAAACCTTGAATAACTGTTCGAAGACGTATGATGTATTCATTGGTTGGAAAATAACAGTAATTTGTACCACACCAAGTTTAATTTGGCATAAGCTGAAATTATTTTAAACACTGATAGACAACAAGCAGCTTACTTGAAAGATACGAGAGATCCCCCTAGGTGGCTGCAAATCTTGGATGCCTTGTTGGTGGTTTCTATATTATATCCATTTAACCTGAAGAAGAGTTTCAAAAGAATATTTTGAGACGTCATGAAAAAGCACACGAAAGTTAGATCTAAGATAACTATCCATTTGATTACTCATTTCCACAGTTTCACATTTGTTAGTGTATATAAAAAATCATCGAATGTTTGAGATGATTTCGTAGTGGAAATGTCGATTTTAAACCACAGATTCAGAGTTACAGTGAAATAATATTCCGTAAAAAAGGAAATTGTCTGAAAAGTCTAATAAAAATGAACAGAAGTGTATGCATGCAATGGCAAGATCCAGGTATCGAGTAAAGATAAACAAATAAATAAATAAGAGATTAATATGGAGTTTTTCAGCATGCAACGTACCACTTGGAATAGACAACTGACCAAATTTCAAAGGTCACTACTTTGAAGTAAGAAGAGGAATTTTTAACACTCACCGTCAATCAAGGATAGGAAAGATGCACTTATTGACGAATTAGGAGTAAGGTTTGAGGATAGCTACCCATCTAATTTCATCAAGAAAAGCATGAAGAAAAAGAAGACCATGGAACACATTAAATCAGCTCAACAGAAGATGCTTTTGATGAAGCTCAGACTCAAAGGTGATGTTGCCACGGATATTCTTCATTAATGGTAAAAAAAGATTCTTGGCAGGACATTCTCTTCTAACAGCTTCCACGCTACCAGCAGTTGATTCGTCAATGTATGGAAAAAAGTTAATGGACTAGGTTTCATGAATGAGCATTGACAAGTTACCTTGCTCCTACAGAATTAAATTCCTTGTCAAATGCTCACTCAAACATTATTCACCTTGGTTGCTGGAAGATTAGGACGAAATCGTCTCCAAATCCATCGCAGAACACTTCGTAGACCCTTGACACCTGGTCCCTGAAAAAAGGCGAGGGTTAAACACTTAGTTACTGCTGAAGCTTTGGCAATTCACTGCTTCAAACTTCAGCTGCGTATTCAAAAGAAACGTACAGATTTACTCCCTACCACGGCTTTAGGCAGATACTCTGCATCTCTGTTTCTTTTTTATTTCTACATTTTATTTGCTGCTATGTTCATTTTATTTTATTTACTTCTGCCAGATGACAGATCTTACTGTACAATATATTTTATGAAAAGTATTGAGATAATTTCTTGCGATACGCAACATCAGTTCACTCCAACTCCATACATTAGATCAGTATCAAATTTTCACGGCAAACTCGTCAAAAGCATTCTATCTTTTTACTTTTAAATTTACAATTGTGCAATTGTGCGAATGAGACGTCGATAAAATAATTATCTTTGCTGTAACCTCCGTTCATTTTTCTATGACTTAACGGGAATATTCCGTTAATTCTAATTCTGGCTTATTATCAGTTCTTGTAACTCTTGGCATCTAATTCTTGGGGTATTCAGTTGCGTAACATAGGTGTTGTTCTTTTCTTAAGCTGATGTTTTTCGGCCAAAAAGATTACAATTTGTAAACGCTTTTGCATACTGTAATATTAAAATTGTTTTAGATTGTGAGCACCTGATGAGTTACACTGGAATACAGTGAGTCGATACCACTCTAGTAAAACGTTTTTCCTTACTCTTTTTATATTTATTAAAGGAAGGAAGTATATTAATTATTAATTAATTAGTATTTTAGATAGTAACTGTAAATATTTCCAAAAGAAAATATACATTTACCGCCAAAAGTAAGTGAACTGAACAAACAAATTGAACATTGAATTTAACACCAGTCAAGCACTTCAAAAGAAAAGAGATATCTTTATAAGACTGTCAACAATTTCGAAATTAAAACCAATGAAATGAAACCAACATTTATTCTCCTGTCTAATAAACTGGATAGATATGATTAATTGTCAGAAAGATGGCAGTACTTTTCAACAAGTAGCGTACATCTTCAAATATTTAGTTAACACACATAATAATGACATACATCGTGTTAATGTTTAAACCACTGTTGAAAGCAACAGTCAATTATTGACTGTAGAAACACCTCTGAGAAATGAAGTGGAACAAAATGATCAATTATCACACCTAAAATTGTTGCTTATGTATTACACAGATGCTTACTTTTAACTACATGATATAAAGTTGTACTTTGCACACTTGTCTTCTGTTCTGTAGTTGGTTTCCAACAGAAATTAAATCTAGCATTGTAATTGAATAAAAAGTTTAAAATTTTAAAAACTGATTCTGTCACATTATTGGTCAATTGTTGTTCAAGGTCGTGCACCTATAACAAGTATATACGAATAAGGCTTTATCAGGATATCAGTGTGTATACATATCCATATTAAACGTGTAAGTGAGACTTACAACTTTACTTCTGAACTCTGAACTATTTAAATGACAGCTAAATTCACGTAAATGCTCCTGTGTACAAATAAAACCATGATGTGAACTATTATTCAACATGTTCACTAGAAGAGATTGATTATAGTGATTCTGGATTCGTTCATGGAATTCTTTGATTCTATCAAGCATCAATTGTTGATAAGTAGAAAGTTCTAAATTTAGATTATTTAAGGTGAAGGAAAATATGGAGTCAAAGTGAAGATATACCAATTAAATCGCGAATGCTTTGATAAATATATGCATTTGCATCATCTGTAGATAGACTACAAATTTTCAAATTGCATAAGTATTTAATTAGCAAGCAGATTACGTTTTAAAGACATTGCATTGAACATTTTGAGCGCAATCTGTCCTAAAATATAATATAGAGTGAATTAAGAGTAGACTGATAATACCTCATATGTGGAAAGAATTGTGAACGATTGGCTAACACACGATGTGATGGACTATGGAGATGAAATGCGCTGTATTGATTGAACTCACCCTGCTACAGACTTCACCTGACACTTACCTGATTTCTGCGATACAGGTGATGGCAAAGGAACTTTGAAAAGAAGTTCGCTGTCAGACAGATTTTCAACTGAAGAATATTTCTTCATTGTTGGTGACAATTTTCTAATGATTTTTAGAAGAAATCACATGAATAAGAAATAGATGAGTAATGAGTAAACAAGATGAGGATTGATAGATAACAAAACGATATTTTTCCTAATGATATTTAAAATCACTAGTGACGTCTAATGAAAAGTGGACATCCAGCGACCATATTCTTGAAACTAATGTTGAAATCTTCAGCTATACTCATTCATACCTTTAAAATAATAAGTAACTTTGGTAAACTTCGATAAAACAATGAGACGTAAATTGTATGGGCTGTGCGTGATGTACTTACGCAAAAAAGTTCAGACTATCTGACCACATACAGGTACTTGTAATAGGTATTTACATGAAAATTCATATAGATAAGTGGTGAGAGTATGTTAAGTGGTCAAGAAGGAAAGCTAAATTGAAGGCCAAAATAACAATGAAAATCGATAAGGCGAAAATAATATCACATCGAACTTGGTTTCGGAGTTGAATTCACCAAGGGAGATTTAATGTGATAACAAATTGCTTTTGAGCACATAAATTTGGTTTAGACTTCTTAATAGCTAAGGCCTCAACAAATTTAAGGATCTCTCCCCAACGCGTCTTGTAAATAGGTGTAAAAGAAATAGCCACATCAATCCTGTGACCTATCTCAACAATCTTTCGCGATCGAAAATCTTGGACGTATGCTACCAATTTTTGGTGTTCAGGCGATTCAACTTTCTTCTGAAGCCACTTTGGAATATGCTTTGAGGCTCTTACTTACATGGATTTATGAGTTCTCCCTATGCATGTGGCATCACACGTACATTTCAATTGGTAGATACAATGAGATGTAACATTGTCGTTCACATGCTGTAAAGATTTCAGAGAATAAACATAGTTGGTGGTTTTTATTAGTCGGACCGTAGCTGTATATTAAGTCCTTCTAACAGCAGCGCTAAATCTCCTCTTGACTATTGCCCTATGAGAGTCACTTTTGTACAGAAAACTGATAAAGACGTCTTTCTTTAGGACAAAGTAAACAGCTGGTTTTGGCCCCCTGATTATTTTGAGCTGACCAATAAATGCTAATGGATAGTTGTTTTCCAGCAGTATTTTAGTCAGTATTCTTCCCTCGTTTTTGAAGTATCACCTGTGCATATCCGTTGAACCATTTCAGTTAGTGAAATTTAATATAGAAAGTTTGAGGCTAATGTGCTCACAAGGAATAAGAGAAGGTCTATGTTCTTCCAAAACGTCTTGAAAGATGTCATATATGAGAATTTGGATAAGTATTGTCAAATAAAATAAAAATATGCTATAATGAAAATGGTGAGTACTCTACGACTCCAAAACATTTGATACCCGGGATCTATCTCATAAGTAATCTCATATTTCCCTCAGATCACTGTAACTCTTAGTAAGGTTGTGCAGCGCTTTATGGTACTAGTAAGAAAAGTAGATCCTGGCAACTAATCGCCGGTATATAAAGGTCAAGCGTATCGACATATACGTCAGTGTCTCAAAACTATTGGTTCACTTGCAAAACAGTTCACCAAGGCAACCATTAAGAGAAAAAATGAGAGTACATTAATTCATATTAACTCGTGATAATAATTACTATACAAATCAGTTTTGACTAACGTCATCATTTGTTCTGGCCCAGTATTATCTTTACTTTCTTGTCCAGAACTTGTAAACATATATTTCAACATTTCTTCTTTGGCGGTTTGAACATTTTCTATGATAAAGGAAATCCTATTCAAGTACATTGTCTTTTAACTACCGAAAATTCCGAGTACTTTAACATTGTGCCATACAGACCCTTCTGCAGGTGTTTCATCATATAATATTGTATGCTCTTCAATTAAATCTTTAAATATAGCTTGATTATCACGAACACAATTGCTATTGATAACTAAAAGTTTCTTGTTTTTCTCAATTTGAACCAAAACAAATGAATTTTGACACATCTAAAAGTTAATTTAAACATAATTAAAACAAAACTATCATTGAACATTGATCAGATTTGTTTATACTCTAAAATTATAACTATACAGTGACATTCACGCACAATGAAATAAATCTGCGGTCAATTTTTCGTAAATGGAAAACAATATTCACGGGACAAATTAAAGAGTAAATAAAAAATGTACACAGAAACTGATATAGTTTCACAGAGATTTAATTACAATAAAGTTCACTTTCAAATAGTAAACTACAGATGAAGTGCACGAATATTAAAGTAGTAATTGTTCATTTAATAAGTTGTTTTTTTTAACTCCGAACCCAAACTGCGAATATGTGACAAAATGTGATACTGTAAACAGAGATGAATGGTAACAACCTATAGAAAAGGCAAGCTTCTAAATAGGACACTATACAATCACAAAAGATACTTTACTCATTAACTTTTCACTTCCTAATATCAACAAAGCAGTATACTGCACATTCTTCCAGAACTAGTGTTCACTTCAGCTTTATAGTTGAATAGTATCTTAGTTGTAAAACAATTCCAAATATGGGTCAAATGTCACTTCCCATATAACCCAGTTCACAGCACAAATTAGTAACCCTATCTTGTGACTGTTAAGATAAATAATTCTTACTGAGAGGTCCTGAAAAGCGACTGAAATTCTACTCTATGCGAGTGACTTTGGTATGAAGAATGACTATAGAAAAAATTTATGAGGGAACTGACAATAATATACCAAGTGATAAGAAATTAAACTAAACTACCTGCTTTGATAATACTTCGGAATAAGTTCATTATAAGGATTGTCTCTTACCCAATATATATACTATTGAACAAAAACAAGAAATGTCCATACACATCAATAACAAACATAAAATCTCACTCTTGCTGATATCATTATCATTCACCTTGTATTAAATCCCTAACTAATATCAGTGTCAGGATATGAACCAACCAGTTAGCTTAGATACAAATTTCCAAGGTCAAAACAACTGAACATTAACTTGGCGCTCATTTTATTTTAGCCTGATTCAAAGGATAATACATAATTATATATTTTAGCTGATTGGATTATTTAAATTACTACTTACTATATTTTAAAACTATACTTTTCCTTTCTTACCTTGTCAAGACAATATTATCCAATCTGTTATAGTTCTCCTGGAATGCAGCAGTTTATTCTGAACAACAAAAATAAGAAACAATAAGTGGTAGTTATGCTATTATGCTATGGTTTTATTAAAAACATTTAAAGTAACCACATAAAATCATCAGTGGGTTGATAATTATTATGATTATCTTCAATGGCCAGCCTGTTGTATACTCCGAAATTTATTTATCATAAGCATCTCTTTATCTTTGAAAGACTATGTTCTAACTGCTAAGACACAGGATTCATTGTGCACTTTGACCAGAACTGTGACCCAGTAGTAAATCATGAAGCCATTCTCAATGCACAGAATTGTAGCCACAGTACTCAAAATGTTATGAATTATAGGGTGAAAGACAATGGGTTACATTGCTCGAGACCAATCACAGTGGTGGAGTAACATTCATTATTTTCCACCACCAAAATTCGAGATATCTTGCTCATCTCCATCTACTTACTCTCTCTTCTATCATACACCTCTGTTTACTTGAATGAATAATGGACATTTTCTATTTATTTACCTTCTGTGGGATATCGTAATTTGAAAAACTTGAACCATTCCATTATGTATACATGATATTTAAAGATTGTAATCCGTGAGGAAGATTTAACTTAAATAATGGGGGTTTGAAACAATAATAATGATGGTGATAATTATAATGTTGCTAGTTGATGATGTAAAGGTTGAATGATAACAAAAAGGGGTTATGCAAGATTTGTCAGTCCACTAAGTCGTAATCATAATCATATCATCAGTGTATTTTTCACTAGGGAGATTCTATGCTTTCAATATCATTGTCCACATCCTTAGCGGAATCCTAAACTTTTGTCGCAACCAACTAACATACTGTGTAACTTCAAGAAGAGAATGGATCATATGTAGTGATATAAGGTTAGCTGAAGTCAAAAAAAGTGACGAGGAATACATTTTTAGAAAGGTATGGAAATAATAAAGAATATTATGCATACCAAGAAAATTTTTACCTAGTTTAACTTTGGAATATACCTTCTGGTCCCTTACCGTTTTTTCCCGTTTGACGAGAGTCAAGTGACCATCAAGGGGGAAATCTCAAGCTTTCCGTTGAAATGTTCACAAACGTTTATCAGTATATCACAGAATATCCTGACACCAGAAGAAAACTAAAGTGACTGTATTTACTGCGCAACCAAAGTGAATTCACATCCACTTTAGTTTCACATACAGGTAAGTTTATTTCTGACAGATATAGCTTATTCTGATTTTGGTAAACATGGTGTCTTCTTTCCCTCTGCTTTTGACTATGTTGAACCTTATTGGATATACCCGTCTAGTTGGGTTTATACCATTTTATGAGTAAACGATTGAACCTAACTAGTAATTCAGACTGTTTTCAGATACTCATAGACTTGTATTAATGAAATGCCTGTAAAAATAAATGTAGATCTTAATGAACTGTTGATAAGTCGGTTCAGATCAGATTCTTTGTAATACATAACTGTGAAAGGAATCCATTAACAATTACCCAAAGCGATTGGCTGTATTTACTTTAAACCATGTACACCACCTCAAAGATTAGAACCGGTTCTAATATATGCAGTCAATATCAAGGAGCTGAGATAAAACTATAAATCTGCCAAACTTCTAGGAAGCTTTGTATTACCAAACTTGCCAATATTGGGGCAAACAATGTCTCAGTCACTCTCTCATTCCTTCGAAAACACTGCCTTTGTCAAAATAAGTTTATATTAATGTCCCACACTGGTAAGAATGCATGAGGCATCTCGTCTTAGATACTAAAAGAAAATATCTTGCATCTACTGTTCAACTTACTTGCCACAAACGTCGATAAACATTTTCTGCTAATTTACTAAAAATTAATTCCAGAAAAGCGAATTTCTTGAAACAAACAATATATTATTCGAGGCCCTCGTCATTAACAGAGACTTGGTTCCAGACTTTTAATGATAACCGTTTGTTTTTGGAGCATATCTTTACGTTTATTGTGACCTTAAGATATTTACTGTAAGACAATTTAAAAGAATAGTGTTTGGAATGAGTTTCACGTTTCATTTCTAACGAAAATCATCAGTTATACTACATATGCATGAATTCTACACACAAATCAAATAGGCGTTATTAGAGTTTATTTTGTAAGACAAACTGTAGTGTTAGCTAGTATGAAGCTAGAACAAAATAGCTACTGACTGTTGTGTTTATATGATATCGGTTTCAGGTAGAAAGCTCTTTCAGAATGTTTGTATTCCAAAAACTGGCAGATCTGGCGAATATTTTTCGTATAACTGACTTATTCTATAACAGGTGAGAGATACTCAAATACGGTGCATTAGCTACCGGAAACTTCCAACAAAGTAGGACTTAACATGATCACTTGTCTGTTCAACCTAGACCTATCTTGCATAAACAAAAGAAGGGGAAAGTGTGCCCACCATAACTTGATTCCAGTACCCATCGCTTCAAACACAAAGCGTTACGCAATAGGCCACTGGTATTACTTTTGACCGAAAACGATGAGGTGGGTATTTTTTTAGTGAACCATAAAGTGCACTGTCATAAATGTTTAGTACAAGCTGGTTGGTTCATCCAGCACCGACTTAAAAGGGATCTTAATTGAACACTACCATGAGCAATAAATGCGTCGAAAGGAACTAAGCAGTGAACATACGTTCTATCCCAGTTCTATCCCAGCAGCTCACAACTACGACTATATGAGGAATGATGCCAGAAGCGTCAGTTTTCAATTTTCAGGTTCAGATTTGATGATGGTCACTTTCTAGCTTCTAATAGTTCACAGCATAACGCAACCAACATCCTATGTCAGTGGCTTGCAGTTGTCGTTACATCTGACTTCGTTGACCTTGAACATCATGGTTTCTGATTACCACCTGCAAGGAAATATGCGATGAACAGAAAATTTTCATTCAAATGATTTGCTAGCCAAGCGATATAGATAGTCAGTCAAAATTACACTGGGATTTCATCATTACCTTCGTTGTAAAAGCATTTGACACTGAAGGTTTATTAAATATGGACATTTCATTTTCCGGTTCAATAAGCTAGACAGATTCATTGAAGCCATCAACAAATACACTTCTAAATAAGAGTCAGTGAGAAAATTTATGAGCATTTATCCCATTAGGCACAATACCTATAAGTTTACTTTCTCAATTTCTCTTGCAAATGCTTCATTAGCTAACTAATGTGAGAGTGATATTTCAAGATGATTTATCGACAAGATTTTCTACTGTAAAGCGTCTTCAAAACTAATATTTAATAATGAAATACAACTTCTACTGTTGCCTACATCATGGTTTAGAAATTTAGTCTCGAATATCTAACCATGACTTTCGGCTTGGTGAATAAAGGCACAAAATAAGTCAAATGTAATTCACTTGCAAAAGCATTAGGGTACCCAATACTTTTCCGGAAAACTATTGCTGTTAAACCTCGAAATTCTTGAACAAATGTATATTTTGGCATTTGTTTCGTCAAAATGGTAGGACGTGACAGTTTACGAAAGACATTATCCTTGAACAATATGATGTGTCTGAAGCAATTAATCCTTTTTATGAATTTGGATGATGTAATTAGACGACGTAGATTATCTGAAAAATATGATGTATAAGTGCTATACATTTCTAACAACTTGATCACATTTACTTGTTGAGGCATTATATATGAAAACTGGGAGTGGGGAAAGGCTAAATATGACCTAGAGGAATTCAATCATAAGAAAGATAATGAAAGGAAGACTTAGTTGATGATAAAATCAAAATACTAATGGAAACAGTGGAAAACGGATATCCACTGAGGTTCATAAACTGGTGCAAAAATCAGCCATTATTCAACG